ATAATATAATACAATATAATAGAATATATGCTGTATTTTTATACTAATACTTCATGGAGTTGTGGTGTGATGCTGTAGGATAAGCAATGGACTGCTAACCACGAGTTTGTACGTTCAAACTCACCGACCACACCTTAAAACTCTAAACAGGATTGCTATGAGTTGAAGTGACTTGATGGCACTTTACATCAACAACTCATATGTTATAAATATTTATACTGTGCACCCCCCACCTGTGTGTTATTTTGATAAGTGCACTATGATTATTTTTTTACATGTTGATGCCCTTGATTTCAATAGTTTTTTCTGTCCAAAGGAATTAATGTTAAGTCTTCGTCTTGATTCTTGTTGATGGCTGAAGTTTGGTTCACCAACCTACCCTTCAGTTTCTAAAATAGCCCCTCTCCAGGCATTATTCTTTCTCTGCTCTGTAAACTGTTTTCTCCAATGCAGGAAGAAATCATGTTTTCTACCCCAGAACAGCCATCAGGATGGGCAGCCACAGGAGGTTCAAGACCATTCAGCAGGTTTTTGTTTTAAAATGCTATCGAGATGATTCTGACTCATAGCAACACTGAAGAGGGTTTCTGAGGCTTTTCAATCTTTATGGGAGCAGAAAGTCTCATCTCCCTATTCAGATGGGCAAGGTCAACCAATATAAGTACATGCTTCTTGTTCTGCTGTCCAGCTGCCATGCTCAAGCCATTTGAATATTGTGCCAATCCAGGTGCTGTGACTCTCGAATCCCTTGCTTGTACTACAGGGATCTGACTGACTTCCTGGAGGCCCCATAAGAGCTGGAGCAGAGGGTGCCTTTACCTGCACTGTCCTATTACAGTCCAGTTTCACATGGGCCAGGCATTGTGGGACTTGGACACTGCAGGCAATATTCCCTGTCCTCCACAGGTCCCTCTGCTCATCTCTGGAGCAATGTACATGGGTTAGATTGATTACAAGGAGCTACGTCACTCTTGGACCTAGCCTTGAATTGCCCCAAAGTGCAATTTCAATTGTTTATTTTCCAGTTGAGGTACTACAAAACACCATCTGTGACTTCTTGACCATGGCCTTATTATATAAATATGATCAAAAGTAACATTTTGGACTACTGAATGACAATGAATGAAGTAGAACTTCACTAATGGTAATGTCACAAGACATGTGTGGCACATTATTCCAGAACTTTTTTTACATAATTTGCTCATTTCTGTCCATTATATGTGCGTGCAAGTTATTTACAAAAAAAAAAAAGAAGCTGTAATTGTATAAAAGGTAAGCTATATTGTGCATTTCAAACAGGCTTTAATGGAAAATGCTAATTTAAGACATGTTCAAGAAAATGAAAAAAAAAAAATCAAATCTAGTTTACCATTTTTGCTTCTGATTGAACTGGTTGAGGGGAGGAAGGGCCTGGGATTCCTGGAACACTAGGCACCATGGTGACTGGTCGAACAAGCTGTGGGAAAATACATTGAAAAAAACTGCTTGAGAATCTACTAAAAATGAAAATCCTATTTATTTGTACTTTGGCTATTGTATCTACTTGATATTTCAGTATCAGAAAATTGTCAATTTGTCTCCAGCTGATTACATCTTTACTCAGAATCCTTATTAGTATTATATCCCAATTGCTTCCTCAAAGGTTGTCAATTTTCTGAGAAACCTGTTTCTCTAATCCTTAATTTTGAAGTTCATTTTTAATGGTTTCTTCTTATAAAAACTCATAATATTCAGTGATTGATGTAAATTTTCTCAAATGTCACACATTTTTAATTTGAAAGGAAGGCATATAAAGGCTTGTGACAACTAGGCATAAAAAAATAATTTTAAAATAAACTCTGCCATTAAAATTTCTAAAACATGCAAGTAAAAAGTCTTTGATACTTAATATACCACATAATGGCAAAGAAAGATAACCTCGAATGATTTCTCAAATAACAATCTGGAATATATATTTTCATTTTGGTTTTAGCCTTTAGAAATAAAAATGTAACGTGTCACTTCTAAGTGATTGTTATAACTAAAATATCAGTCTTTCAATTATCACAGCTACATTTCATAGGATAGTCATAAAATCTCAAATACAAGGTAAGACTATACCCCCCAATGCTCAAAAACTGTTCTCAGAAAAGAAGTAGTCCAATACTTGAGTGGTTAAAATGTCTTTAAAACAGTGCATTTTTAGCAACAAAGTTCTGTTTGAAGAAGATGCATTATCTTCAAATTACCTCAACATTAATTTTAGATAAATTTGATGTTAATTTTGGAAAAAAATTAATAAAGAAGTTAAAAAAAAATTAACATTAATTTTAGTACTATTCTAAGGGCATAATGTTACCCAAATGTGTTGGGTATTACTGTAAAGCTTTTAAGAATAATTTTCATGTGGTGCTGCACGACAAGCACTGGACTGCTAACTGCAAGGTCAATGGTTCAAATCCACCAGCTATTCTTCAGAAACCCTACACAGGGTTGCCACAGTCGGAATGGACTCAATGGCACTTAACAACAACACACACTAAATGGATGCATCACACTAATCACCATTGTTGATCTAGAAAGTAAAAAGCAGCAGTTACTGAATTATTATATGAACGAGTGTGGCTTGGGGTAAGATTTCCAGAAAGAGAATAATAGACTTAAAGGGTGTTGTATCTTAAATAATTTACATGAAAGGGTAAAATAAACGTAGGAAAATTATGCTAGATGTCTCATAAAGTGGCTACAATGATAAAAACTTGGGTAGTGATTATATATTTGAATAGTTTGAATTCAATTATTGTATGAAGTATGAGAGTAGGAAAATAAAATTATTTCTAACTTATACTAATATTCTAAATAATATGCTTTTAAATAAATGTTCACTAGATGATTAATTACTACAAGTCAATGTTTAATTATTTTGCCCATCTCTCAAAATTTAATTATGCTTATAGCGTGGCTCAAAAAACATCTCCATTTGGATTTTCCCACTGGGAAGATGAGGTACTGTCAAATATTTCACACGATTTGACTTTTAACATGCTTGGGCCATCACAGGAATTTATAATTTAACCATAAAAGTTCATATAGGATTTCTGGCAAGAAGGTAGACTAGGCAGACGCACTACAAGGACTCTTTACAACAAAGATATGAGAGGCAAAATGACACACACACACACATGAAAACTCTGGCACCCTGAACTTCAGAAGAAAGGGTAGAGAAGTGAATGGAAATCTTGTTGGGAAGAGAGGCCAAGCAGGGGTGGTGAGAGAGGGAGACTGACTGGTGAACAACTGGCCAGGCTCGGCTCAAACTCTTGTGACGAACTTTGGAAGTGGAGGGAGGCCTGGTGAAGCGGATTTGCGTGGGTTAACAGAGAAGGTATGATTTCTTCTTTTCCCCATGCGTCCCTGGTGACAAGAAGGGTGGTCAGCTCTGACCTTCATCCACTCCCAGTGAGACCCTTCTCTCCAGTTTAGAGATGTGTGGCTGAGAGCCACGCCAGCATGAGTTAGGGGCAGCTATGCCGTTTTAAGTGCCTGTATTTAGGCAGGATTGACCCCAGACCTACACAACACACAGAGCCACCAGATCAGCATTTCACCAGCCACACTGCCCCTAGCTTCCCTGGGGTCCTAACAGACAATGAAACAAGCTCCATCAAAGGTCTCCACAAATCACTTCCAGATTGAGTGTCCTTAACATAGGTAACATCAAAGCCAACAGGAACTCCATCTAGAGCCAGGAACTCTGTTGTCACACCCCTTCCACAACCACCTTGTGAGCTCCTTGAATTGCAGCAGCGTGCCAGAGATTTCTCCTCTCCAGGTCCATCAACTGTAGCTTTTGTTTTCACAACTATGACAACCCACAACACCCCAGAGTCAACAGGCAATTTTAGCTCACAGGAAGAAACAGATGAGAATAGCTCAAACAAATGTCCAAGATACAGAACCAGAAAATGCTTCTGAAGAACACAAGGTAATAGAACTAACTGAAAAAGAATTCAAAAGAATGATAGTTAAGTACCTTCAAAGGATCGATAGATTGAGAAAAGTAAGGAGAACACAATAAAAACTTTAGAATAATTCAAGAAAACACAACAAGAAGAGACAGACAAAACAGATGCAATTTTAACCAATACAAAACCTGAAATCAGAAATTCAGAAGAATGCTACTATGATATTAGAAATGGGCAATACACTGAAAAGACAAAGGAGTAGATGCGAAGCAACTGAGGCTCAAGTTAGTGAGCTTCAAGATAAATCTTTCAATACTAGTATGCTAAAAGAACAATTAGAAAAAACAATGAAAAAAATCTGAAGAAACCTTAACAGTTATATGGGACACCATGAAAAGAAACAACCTGCAAGTGATCAGAATTCCACAACAGGAAGAGACAAGCACAGAGCAAACTGTTGAAAAGTTGTTGAAAGAAAACTTGCCTAAGCATACAAAAAGCTGAATGAACCCCAAACAGGAAAGATCCCAAAAGAAAATCACCTAGACAAATCATAATCAAACTTTCCAAAATCAAAGACACGGAAAGAATCCTGAGGGCAGCTCAAGAAAAACGAAACGTTATCTACAAATGAGAAGCAATAAGACTAAGCTCTGATTTCTTAGCAGAAACCATGTAGGCAATAAGGCAATGGAATGACAGAAAAAGATAGCCAACTAAGAATCACATACAAAGCAAACCTGTCCCTCAAATACAATGGCAAAATTAGGACATTTCCTGATAAACAGAAAAAAAGGAATTTGTAATGACAAAGACAACTTTACAAAAAAATGCTAAAGAGTGGTCTTTGGACTGAGAACTGACAACAACCTGAGATTACCATAGATAACACCACCACCCAGAACTCAATTCAAATATAGAAATATTAAAGTAAGACAAACCTATAGAACTGAAAATAGGGAATCACAGATAGCAATGTATAATGAAGCCAACTTACAAAGCCAAAAGAGGAAATAGTGTAGATACAGAATTTCTAAATGGCAATGAAATCAAATAGATTTCAAGATAAAACAGACTGTTTTAAGCGTGGGAAAAATTAATAGATTACAGGGTAACATCAAAGAAAAAGAATACACCTGCACATCAAAATCAAAAAAGAGGAAAATCAGAAAGATTTAGTGAACATTAACATAACAAAAATAAAAATGAAAGGAAAATCTACAAACAAAATGAACTCAGCATAAAAACTAATGAGTAACAAAGAATCCAGTAACACACACACACACACACACACAGAGAAAAATGACAGCTATCAATTCATACCTATTGATAAACTGAATGTAAATGGATTAAATGTACCAGTCAAGAGGCATGAAGAGCAAATGGATAAGAAAGCAGCATCTTTCACAATGCTGGTTATAAGAGACATATCAGAAAGATGGAGAGCCTAAAAGCTCATCAACAGAATGGTTTAACAAACACTGGTACATACACACAATGGAATACTACAAAACGTCAAAGAATAAGGATGAATCTGCAAAACACAACATGGTTGAACCTGGAGGACAGTATGTTGCATGAAAGTAATCAATCACAAAAGTGATTGTATGAGACCAACGTTGTATAAAGTTAAGAAAAGCAAACAGACTTTAATAAAAGAAACAATCTATGATGGTTAGGCAGAACTGACTCCACGGCACATAACCACCACCACCATGATGGTTAGGGGGGCTGAAGAGGAATTATTCATGGGCTAGAGGTTAACACTGGTGACAGGGTAGGCAATATACAACAATAGGGAAGTTAACACAGAGAAAAGATGAATGTAGCAGGAGACACAAGGAGGAATAGTTAATGTGAGCAGAGGTAAATATTGTTAACTGTTGGTACAAGGAGGGGACTGCAACCATGATGTGAAGCAAAGTATATGGTATATTGAATGTAAACTGATTGTCTGCTCTGTAAACCTTCAACAGCAGTTCGAAACTACCAGCTGTTCTGTGGGAGAAAGATGAGGCTTTCTGCTCCCGTAAAGATTTACAGCCTCGGAAACCCTGTACAGGTCCGCTATGAGTTGGAACCGACTCCACGGCACATAACAACAACAAACCTTCAATCAAGTCACAATAAAAAAAATTTCACAAGAATGCTTTTACAAAGTAGACAAGTGTGGCAAGACCTAGGGACTCTTGGGCCCAGAGTCAGTGACACAGCCACAGAGGACTCCAGTGGAGAGAGAAGCATCCAGCTGATAAGAAGAAAGGGCATATGCATAAGAACACCCATACTTGCAGATAATATCCACTTAACCTGGCCTCAATGACTGGATGATCAGTGCTCAACTAGAAGAAAGAAGAGGAAAAAAAGAGTAATCTGATACAATTTGATGAAAAAAAAGAGTAATCTGATATAATGTGATGAACTTGACCTACATCTACGGATGCAGTAGCTCAAAAGAGGGAACAAATCTTCACAGCGAGGATCATTCCCACCCCCTCCATACACAGAGTAGACAGGGATGGGCAACTTGGACACTGGCTACCCAAAATGGGGGGGCTAAAAGGCAAGAAGTGTCTGGCTTACAAGCTTTCAAGACGGAACCTAGATCCAGAGGGTGTGGAGGAAGGTAGAATCTCCACTAAGTAGTATCTAATCTGTCTGGGCGGGGCTGATGAAAGGAAATGCGGCTAGGTCTCTGGTGACATAATGGTGAATAACTGTTATCAGGACTGCTTGTGAGGGTTGGAAATGTAAAGATAAGATGTTTTGTAGCAAAAAGAGGGGAGTGATTAACTGCAGTCTAGGAGCGGAGGTCCCTGGGACCATCAAGGGAGAAGAGTGGAGAATGGGACCCTACCCCAAGAAGCAGTTATGCCAGAGATGGAGGCAGAGACAATGATGTGTAGAGATGGAGCGGCTGGGGACTTTAGACCCAGAGAGGGAGAGGGGCTGTGTGCTGACGACCAGAGGGGCAGGCTTGCAGGGTATACCCTTTGGTTGGTCGATGATGTATGGAGGGGATTGTAACCATGGAAATGAAAGGATATATGATAGAATGAATGTAAAGCTAATGTTCTCCCATGTAAACTATTACATAATTCACAATAAAACATTAAAAAAAAATGTTTTTAGAAACAATTGGTGAAGTACATGTGATAACAGAATTATGTGAAAAGTAACAAGTGTAAACATTAAAAAAAAAAAAAAAAAGAACTCTGTCATTTGAATGTTATAAATATAGTCAAACTAAAATGGGTTATACAGAAAAAACATTCTTAGTATTAAAATATTTTAAAAAGTTAATCATGAGAGGAAAATTTTTCTATAATTATTGCTTCTTAAATGGTATATGTTATTTTCATTACTATCAATGAGTAAATACATACTGCGTTGGTTTTGTTATATGCCATGGAGTTGGTTCCTACTCATAGTGACACTGTACAGGGTTTCCGAGGCTGTAAATCCTTACGGGAGCAGAAAGCCTCATCTTTCTCCTGCGGAACAGCTGGTAGTTTCACTATTAATTAATAAGCATTTGTTGAATTCTATTTCATAAGAAAACAGAGCAACCCCATGTATTATTTTCTGGTTGCTTAAAAAAATACAAGTTCTGCTAAAAATAAAAGGTTTAAATAATCTAAATTTCAAACTTACTGGAACTGCGGCAGGTACATGCACATTAGAACTTGTAATTGATGCAGGGATAGCAACAGGCATGGTTTGTCCATTTGGAAGATGTAACAGAAGAGGAAATGGGCCCGGTACAGGGCTAAGAGAAACAAAAGAAACCCATATTAAAACATCTGTTAAAAACACAAAAGTATTTTCACTCCTATTATTGTGCCATTTTAAAAATAAATTTCCTACCGCAAACGAAGTACAAAATTCCATTTTTTCCATTGCATCTTTAATGAATAATTTATATGGTAGTGTAAAAATGGGGGAGAAATGGAACATGTTATGTTACTAAGGACATTTCCCAATTGGCAAAACAACAAAAATTCTCATCAGAAAGCTCTTAAGAGCTTCCAGTAAGAACTGAAAGAAATGTCCTTTGGTAATGACGTAATTTAAGCATTTTTGTATGAAACATGAAAATAAGACACCATCTTAAATTGATGTTCTATAATGATTTTTTAAATAATAAATTCTATTTTAAAAAATATGAATTGGAAAGAGAGGTATATCAGCATCCTTAAGAGAGCTTTATTTATTATACAGTGGAAATTGTTCAACTTCGATTGAATGATTTTTTTTTAAAACTAACAAGTATGATGATTTGTTTTTAAGATGTTTAGTTTTCAATGTACTTAATATACATACATACTAAGAAAACTATCTAAGTACTGTTTCTAAGAGCCAAGGCATGAATATTATTACTAAAACACAAACACACAAAATGAATGCTTCCTACGAGAATTGTTTTATCATCAGTCCACATTACTTACACAATTGGCCTATTGGAGGATGGTGCCTGGGTGATTACAGTACTTGAGGTTGGTGAGGGTACTGCCTGCTGAATAATTACACTGGAATCAGAACTTGTAAGCAGCACATTGGGGACCTGTAATGATGCTGGCCGGACAATAGCTGATGTGGGCTGTGCAGTTTGTGCCAATGGTACTTCCTATTTAATAGGGGGATAGAAAAAGAGTACAATTCATGTACCTTAGTGAACAGAAAGTAACACATCTCTAAAAGCACTCATAATACTTAATATCCCCATTCGAAACTACCAGCTGTTCTGCGGGAGAAAGATGAGGCGTTCTGCTCCTGTAAAGATTTACAGTCTCGGAAACCCTGTGCAGGGTCACTATGAGTCAGAACCGACTCCACCAGCACATAACAACAACAAGAAGAGTAAATTAACTTATAGATCCTTAATTAAAATAAAAACTTAGAAGTAGCTGTAAAGGCTCAAATGGCATTGTTTAAATTTTAAAAATCAGAATGTACAACTTGATTTCTTTATAAATCCAGAAATAAGTTTAGGTAGAGCAACTTTGCTAGGATTCCATGAGACTGTTCATAAAATTTTAAAGTACAATTGATTCTCATGGAATCATAGGACTTAAAATCCAGAAGGAATCTGAGAGATTAACAACTCCCTCATTATGGGGAGTGCAGTGGGTCCATACAATAAGCATGGGACTATAAACCACAAGGTCCAGAGTTCGACCTGGCCAGCCACTCTTCGGGCAAAAAATGAGGCTTTCTGCTCCCTTGAAATTTTAAAGCCATGGAAATCCTATACAGGGTCACTATGAGTCAGAACTAACTTGACAGCACTTAACAACAATTCCCTCATTATACTATAAGAAGAGTAAACAGGTTCAAAGAGATTGTGTTAGGATTGATAGAAATTCAATTTAATAGAAATGCTTAGAAATTTTTAAAAGTAATAGAGTTATATTAATCTCAGGTAGTTATTTATGCTTTCTTCCTATATCAAGAATTTCTGTATCAAAGGCCAAGTAAAACTGACTATTTTGAATATATAATGTTGTTGTTGTTGTCAGGTACCATCAAGTCGGTACCGACTCACAGCAACCTTATGGCACAACAGAACGAAACATTGCCTAATCTTGGGCCAACCTCACAACTGTTGCCATGCTTGAGCCCGTTGATGCTGCTACTTGGCCAATCCATCTCTCTGGGAGTCTTCCTCTTTTTCTCTGACCCTCCACTTTACCAAACATATCCTTCTCAAGTGACTGGTCCCTCCTGACAATATGTCCGAAGTATGAGAGACCAAGTTTGGTCGTCCTGGCCTCCAAGCAGAACTCTGGTTTCACTTCTTCCATCACAGATCAGTTGGTTCTTTTGGCAGCCCATGGCACTTTCAATATTTTTCTCCAACACCATAACTCAAAAGCATCAATTCTTCTATGGTCTTCCTTAGTCACTGTCCAGCTTTTGCATGCATATGAGGTTATTGAAAATACCATGGCTTGGGTCAGGTGCACCTTAGTCCTCAAAGATCCACACATCTTT